CTCAAACTAAGAATCGAAATTTTGAACTGGCATTGCTATTGTTCCTAGGATCTTTGGTATTGCAAATGGGGTATATCGGAACACTTTTTGGTATAGCTCCCATTTAAAGGTACCACACAATTTTCAGTATTTTTAGATTTGTTGCCGCATTTTCTAACCGAAAGGGCAGCAATTTGGCGTACCAGGATTTTTGGAGGCTGAAATACACCTATGCAGACAAAGGTCAATTCGAATCTTTTTATTTTGGATTCTGGCAAACATCTGCCCATAACATTAACATCATATGCCCAAATTTTCCACCCGAAAATCCTCTTATATGACATTTCAAATTTTATGAAGGCCGACATACATTTGAGCAGAAAATTATCATTACAGGTCCATGTTTTTACATAACCCACATATAAAGGACCATTTTAAGACTTTTGCCACATTTTCTAAACGAAAAAGCTCTAATTTGACATTTGAGGGTTTTAGAGGCTTTCATATGTCTGTGCAGAAAATTATCACTATATGTGCATTTTCGACACTTGAGGTTTTTTTGTCGCATATTTCAACCTAGTAGGCTCTAATTTAGCATTTCCGGGTTTTTGAGGCTGGCATACATATACGCAGTATATGAGCATTGCAGGTTAATGTTTTAACATAGCCCCAATGTATAAGATTCCTGCTCAATTTTCGGTATTTTGAGATTTTTAGTCACAGACAATTTACATTGCCATAGTCTCCTAGAAAGATCCCGACTTTTTAAAGAAATGTTGAATGGTGGAGAGTATAAAAGGTTCGGGCGGGATAAACTTCACAACGTAAATAATTGATAATAAGTAAAAACGATGTTAAGTACGGCCCGATCGAACTAAACTCCACCATCGAACATCCTCCACCATGAGGATGACAATCAAAATATCTAAAATTAATGAGGGCTGCTAGAAGAAAACTCATGTTATGAATATTGCGAAAAATAGGTTAGAAAAAGATGAATGAAATCCTCAAAATATCTAATAGTGGGGCTACCCTTATATGGGGCTATAATAAAACAAGATCCATATTGATATTTTTTGGTGGTGAGACGTGACAGCCAATGGGAATATAAAATACCAAATTACAGCCAATTCGATTGTCTTTTTCAACCGAAAATCAAAATATCGAATATTGGGGGATACCGTTATATAGGAGGTTACCCAGAAACTTGGGTCAATATTAACGGATATGTATTATTCAATGAGAAGCCAAAATACCAAATTACAGCCAATACGGTTGCAAAACGTGACCAAAATCCCTAAATATTGGGGGCTACATCAAAACGTGGGCCGATTTCCAATACCAAACATCATAGAAGTACTAGCAATGCCTGTGCAAAATTTCAGAGCTCATTTTGATGATTTAGGGCGCATTTTAAACGAAGTTGATATATTTTAGTACAACGAAGTCACAGACTCTTGCAGGCAAACAAATTCTTCAAAGAAGATTTTCGACATAAATCCATGGTTCTATATAAATGTCACTGTTGTTTGATATTTCGTCTTCACCTAGCCCCAATACAAAACTGCCAATCTAATTCAAAATTGCCCATTAGAACTGCCTTAAATATGTGTTAATTGTTTTTTTTTTAATTTATAAAAAAATCTTACAAGATTTTATGTGTGGAGCCAAAGTCCTTTCAATATTAATAAAATTATTTATTGAAAAATTACCTAATCGTCTTCCAGTCTCCCACTAATTATTGTTTTCAAATGTTTCCCTGGATACAATATTATTACGAAATTATCCAATTTTCTCATTCACCTTGATAATCCAATAATACAAGACTTCTTTTTGTTGTTTTCAATGATTATTATAATTAGTCTTTATTATTAGCTAATTACCACAATTGGCAAAGTTCTACAAACGGTTGTTTGTTATACACATTTAAATGTGGGCCAACTTTTATGCTAGACACACAACTACACCAATCAGCGTACAGCCACAATAACTAAATTTTATTAGGCTGATTTATTATTCCGTTGTAGGTTAATAACCGAACCAGACGGTTCAATACATTGTTATTAAATATTTAAATGGAACAGTGGCACACATTATTTGGTTTACTAATTATGACCAAATAATTGGTATTTATTGTTAGGGGCGAGGGTGGTTTTAGAATGCAAACAAACACTTTTTGAAGTTTATTATGGATTGGATTGCTAATTTTGATAATCAGAATTAAGTTTTTTATTGGCTGATTAAGTTGGTCGTCGCAAAGTTATGGAAATATGTGTGAAAATATGAATAGAAAAGGTGATGAAGGCAAATAAAAAAAAAAAAACAATCAAAGGCTTTAGAAGAAATGTGAAAAGGAGTAGGAGGACCCCTCCCCAATTCTCGCTTTCTAAAATCCATTTTCTATATTTAAGTAATTCGAAACTATAACTATTTAAAAGTTTTTGTTAAAAAAAATTTGGTCATACGTTCACGATTTTGTACTTTTTGATTCATGATTCAGTGGCGATTATGTGGCTTATGTGATATTATTCCGAAAAAATGTTTTATATCACAATCATGTACTTCGAGGAAAATTTTGACTTTAATGGAGTTACTTCGTCACTGAAATAAAAAATCGAATAAGGTTACGTGGGAAGTCTCCATTTTCCTATTTCCATTAAGTGAGAACCAAAAACATACAGTTAGAGTCAAATTGATCAAAAAGTGCGATCATAGTCTACAATAATGTCTATACAAATCCAGCCTATCTAGTTTTCTATTGAAATTTTTTTTGAATGGAAATTAAAAACCGAATTAGTAATGTCGCCAACCATACCTACAATCTATCGGGGCTTTCAGGAGAAACGAACGCTCAGATTGGGCTAGAACCTTGAACATGCCGAAAATGATGTGAAATGATTGAAAAAGATGTCTGAAATCTTTTGGCTATGTCAAAACAGGAACACATATTAAAAATTTATGGTAGTGAGATTTGAACTAAATAGTGAGATTTGACACCCAAATATTAGTTTGGGGAAAAACAAATCCAAAAATAAAAAATACTGATAGATTTCTCGTAAAGTATCGATCAAGCAATTTCAGATTTATGTTCCTCTGGAAGGGTGACATTTCTTTAAAAAAATATTTTGCTGTTTTTGTTTGGCGAATTCAGTTGTGAGTTGCAGGGCGTGAGAAATAAAGGTGAACAAAGAGAAAATTCGGGAAATTCAGGAATGTTTAATGTTAAAGATGCATCTCGCACTGGTCGAAAACGTCGATAAAATCGGATAAATGATCGAAAATGCCTTTAAAATTGCAAAAATCATACAATCAAAATTGTGCATATTTGGATCAAATCGTATAATATTCCGTACAACCCTTCTAATTTCTTGTCAGTATTCCCTTCACCGTCGGTTGTGTTGCGATGTTCGGCTTTCAATTGTGACCTATAGATATAAAAAATTAAATTCTCGATCCAGTTCATCCCAAAATTATTATTTGATCATCACCGAAAATTATAGGCGTTGTCCTTGACCACACATGGATCCTCATGAAAAATTTCAAAGCGATCAGAGCTATATTTCCGCCCTCTAGTGAGGTAACGGGTTACTAAATAATATCTGCATACTTAAGCACCTGTAAATATTTAAGTGTAACTCCCACATCCGACTATACAACAATAATAATTGGTATCAATTTAAAGGTCAACCACTCCTCTTGGATATACTATCAACTTCTCGGGTCTATGTCCTTCGGGAGTTAATATATACGCCACATACATACATTTTTTTTTAATTTTTCACACAAAAGTCAGGGTCCATTTGAACCGCTAAATATTGACCTTTATCAAAACAGGCATGCTCATTCTTTGGTCCGATCCCCTAATCCATGTAAAATTTCACGACGTTCGGGCTATAATTGCGGCCACTGGAGCGACCAGAAAAACCGACAAAAATTTAGTATTTGGTCCATTTCATTAACCGATCTTTACCAAATAAATAGGGGTCTTCATTGGCGAGAACACATCCTACATGCAAAATTTCGTGAATATTGGTACATAACTGTGGCCTGTATCGTGTTTACAAATTATAATGGACAGACGGACGGATGAACACACATGTCTAGATCGACTCAGCTAGTCGATATATGACGATCGGTATACTTGAAAGTGGGTCTAGGACCAATATTTCGCGGCGTTACAAACTCTTGGGGCTGCACAAAGCTATATTACCCTGACAACATAGTTGTGTAACTTCTAACTTCTAAAGAATCTCCCGTTAAAATTTCAGGCGAAAATCTCAACAACTCTTGAAGATATAGCAGATTTATTACGTCAACATCAAGCGACAGCCGAAGTGCTTCTCAAACTTTAAACGCGTTTTCACGAAACCGTGTTTTTACGTAATGAAGATCTTTCCTATTTGCAAGCTTAGTTCTTGGCAAAGATAAGCGATGGAGTTTTGAGATTCCGATGCTCCAGAAATCAGCAATCATGCAATCAACAATCAAAACACAACAATATTTTGTCAATTTATTTTCTTCATCTACAAGTCATTAACATAATATATGCTCATTTGCCAGGCATAGCATTTCGAAACTAGTCGAAAATTTAAATCGAGAATGGTTGGGGTCCCCAAATCTGCAATGATGTACTATATTGGATATGTAATCAATTCCTGCATTTAATATGCTACAAAATATACTATCCTCCTCATACTCCATATTTTATACTACTATACTATCCTCTACTCATATTTCTTTCCACTTTAACAATATCAATATCCAGCAAAACTAAAGTTTTGAGAAAGAAATATTAAATTTTGTTCAATGTTTTCAGAAAGTGTACAAAAATGTTATCACATCATTAAGTTATGCAAAAATATTTGAAATTCAATGTCATAGAAAATGTAAACAATTCGCAGGAAATGCCACTGGCTATCATAATTTATTTATATTTATTTTTTGTCTTTTCTATTTTTATATTTTCTTTACGAATTGTGTTTTTTTTACTTAAATGCTAATTTTTCTTTTGCATTTTTTTTTTTGCTCCCATCATTACAGCCCGTGGCAAAAAGAAGGAAAAGAAGAAGTACTTGTTGCCCCTATTGTTGCTCTTCAAATTGAAAATGGCCGCATTATTGCCCTTGGCAATTGGTTTCTTGGCTTTGTTGTCGTTCAAGGCTTTGGTCATTGGTAAAATCGCATTGATTTTGTCCTCCATCATTGGTCTGAAGAAATTGTTGGAGAAGAAGGAAAACTATGAAGTAGTGTCTCATCCTCATTACGACGAGCACAGTTATGGACGTGCGTTACGTGATGCCCAAAATTTGGCCTACAGTGCTTACAAGAAATAAATGGACACTGACAGCAGTAAAGCGGGTGACAGCATAGTACAATCAATGATGGGCTAGCAAAAAAACGGGAATTCTTGGAAAATATTTTATTGTGTTTTTTTTTCGAAATATTTTCCCAGATATTCGTCACATTGGTATATTTATTTAATATTTATTTTTTTAATGTCTAAGAGCCTCTGGGAGTGCAATACATCCTGATAATTTATTTATTAAAGCGTTAACATTTTTTTTGTATTTATTTATTGATTTAATTTTAATAATTTATTATTGATGTGCATGTAATTTAAAAGAATTTTGTAGGAAAACTGAAAATCAAAAGAAGAAAAAAATAATAGCCATGTTTTTTATATCGCTGAAAACTCTTTAGCATGTCTAGCTAGGAACAAAGCGTCAGAATATAAATGTTAAACAAAATGGAAAAGAAAATAAAATAATAAAATAGTAACAATTATTTGTTGTATCAATAGTTTTTAAGTTTCTACCAAATGAAGAATTTAAATGAAAACTCTTTGCAAATCAATAGCAAATGAACACACAAACTCTCATACACATACTTGTTTAATTTTATTTCTACGCTTCATCTACAATCTGACTTGGTTCACACACTCACTCACTCACTTACCGAATACCTCTTTAATCCTCTGGAATGACTTAATGCTAACTAGATATCTAGTTCATACTGTTTTTTTTACAATAGATTGTGTCTTATTTTTTAAATAATACTATTTTTATAGGCTACTATCTATCTACTGTCACTTTTTTAACTATAAAGCTTTATAAATGCATACAATATGTTTTCAAATGAATTAAAGAGCAAAACTATGAAAAAAATGAAATGTTGCTTTTATTTAAAACAAAAACTGGATTTTATATTTTCACTTTATGGACCTAATTGTAAATGTGGGGAATAAATCAATTCATTGGGATTATTGTCAAGGGATTATTTTCATTGAAATACGATTATTATTTTTAAATGTGTCCTTTTAGGGCTGTAAAACATTATTTGCCAAAAGGAATTAACAAAATATCCAAAAGCTGTAAGCAAGGTTGGTAAAGATGCAAAGTGGTATTTGATTTATTTTATGATTTAAAATTCTCCTTTAAATAAAAAAAGTATCCAGAATTGGGAAAAATACAAAATAGAACAAATGTTTCGTTGTGTTATACTGGGTTGTATGTGCAAAATTTGGAGTAATCTTTTACATATCATGGATATTAAAAAGGACGAATATAAGAGCTACATTTCTTCCGGAAAACAATTTCAGTCAATAAGGACATTCGTCATTTTTATACCCTATACTATGGTGTATGGAGGGTATATTAATTCATTTTCGACCCTATAAAGTATATGTATATTATTGGTCAGGGTAAAATTCTAAGACGACCTAACCATGTCCGTCTGTCTGAAAGAATTGAGATAGGGTGCTGAAATTTTGCATAGGGTTGTCTTTTGTCTTCAGGCAGGTCAAGTTCGAAAATGGGATATATCGGTCCACGTTTAGGCATAGCTCCCTTATAAAGGTATCCCCCAATTTTCGGTACCGAATTCGCTAACATTTGTTACATTGGATTCTTATTGGTAACTAAATTGCTCCACAAACAATTATAAATATTGGTCTACTTTTTCTGGTAGCCCCCATATAACGCTACTCCCAATTTTCGGTATTTTGGGGTTTTGATCGTATTTTTTCACCGAATTGCCTGTAATTTTGTATTTGGGGTCCTTATTTCGGTATTTGGAGTCCTTAAGTGCGCTTGACAACTGAATTCGCTGACATTTGTTACATTAGGTTCTTATTGGGAACTAAATTGCACCACAAAATATTATACTACTTTTTCTGGTAGCCCCCATATAACGGTACCACCAATTTACGGTATTTGGGGTCCTTGAGTGCGCTTTTCATCTGAATTCGCTGAAATTTGATACATTGGGTTCTTATTGGGTACTAAATTGCTCCACAAGAAATTATTAATATAGGTCTACTATTTCTGGTAGCCCCCATATAACGGTACCCCCAATTTTCAGTATTTTGGGGTTTTTATCGTATTTTTCCATCGAATTGCCTGTAATTTAGTACTTTAGTATCTTCAGCAGCTTCCATGCAACCTCGCGTAATAAAACCTGAGTACGTTGTGGATGGTCTCATATAACTTTGCCCTCTAAATTGCCGTATTTTGGCGATGTTCCACCCTACCATGCGTCGCCAATATCATATTAATTTTTTGCACAATTTTGACCATTTTGTGGAGAAGGTACTAAAATTAGTATACCGATATTCCCCATCTTCGAACATGAACTAAGTTTGGAAGAAATAATAAGATGTGCATAGTTTGGATGAAATCAAAATTTTCCGACACGGATTTGGTCCAAAGAAATATGGGGTCTAGAGCCAATATTTCGATGAAGCACATTTTCACCATATCATGATGCTGAGGATATAAAAATCCATTAAAAATGACTGAAATTTGTATTTGGTATACATTATGGTATGTTCCATTTTCACTTCAAGTACCTGTCCAAAGTTCGGCCCGACCATACTTAACGCTTTTCCACTTGTTATAATTACTTCCGTTAAATGGTTAAAAAGCTATAGAGCAACTTCGGTCAATGTGGACAATGGTAAACTGAAACATTGTAAATATATTGTTTAAGTACACTCCTGGTCAAACATTATATATTAGGTTGGGGAAAAAGAAATCCATTATGGCTGAACTGATAGATTTCTCGTAAAGTATCGATCAAACAATTTCAGATTTTTCTCATATTTAATTGAAACCCCAATTAAATATAAGAAAAATGTTGGTCAGTGATATGTGAGTGTAGTCTAGCTCCATCTGACATTTACATTGGAAAGTTTTATTTTTTAGGGTCAACGTACTCAGTACTGGAAGTTATTGTAGGAACCAAAATGCACAATAACCAAATACGTGGACCGATGTGTCCCATTTTTCAATATCAAAAATATGTCTTTTAAAATCAATAAAGAACATTGATACCCTTTCCTCATGTTAAGGACAGACAAGAGAAGGCTTATAATTGGATACCATGCAAATGAGAGCTCTGACAAGTCGGCTCAAACCAACACCAAAATTAAATGGCCATGTGCCGCACAGTCCTGATTTGGAATAGTTGAAGGAACTAATTAATCGGAAAATAAAATAATAATTTCTTTAGACGATGTTAGACTGCGACTGTGATTACACATAATTGGTGACAATGTTCAAACATCCCAATGGATAATTCAAAGGGCCCCTAACAATGAGTATTACCTACACTTTCCCAGTGGACAAAACATAATATATTAATAGATCCGCAACCACTATATTGTTTCACAACGCCGCGAAATATTGGCCCCACCTTTAAGTATACCGATCGTCATATCTCGACTAGCTGAGTCGATCCGTCCGTCCGTCTGTCCATTATAATTTGTAAACACGATACAGGCACAGTTATGGACCAATATTCACGAAATTTTGCATGTAGGATGGGTTCTGGCCAATGAAGACCCCTATTGTTTTTGATAAAGATCGGCTAAAATTTTGGGGATGAAATGGACCAAAAACTTTATTTTTGTCCAATTTTCTGGTCGCTCCAGATGCCGCAATTGTGGCACGAACTTCGCGAATTTTCACATGGAGAAGGGAGTCTAATACTTTATACTTTGTAATACTTTAACTTGCATGATATTACAAATCAACCCAAATTTATTTAGTTTAATTCTCGATACCTAGTCGACAAAATTATTTGATTCCGGGAACTACACCACCTTACCTTCCACCTTTAAATATTTTACGAAATTTCTAGGGACTACATGACCTCACGACTAAAGTTTTTTCCCTGAATTCACATATCGAAAAACCCACAATTTTAAATTGAAAATAGAACTGTAAATTTCTAGGGACTACATGACCTCACGACTAAAGTTTTTTCCCTGAATTCACATTTCGAAAAACCCACAATTTTAAATTGAAAATAGAACTGTAAAAGTAAACTACTATTATTTCGTAATGCCCTCTGCATTTTAGAAAATTTACTTTTCCCCAAAAAATGACATACTGCAAGTGAAGTTCAACGAAGCATAGCTTTGAATGCGGGTTACGCTTTAGAACACACGATGCACTTTTACCCACTTTCATTTGAGCCAAACCAACCTGCCACATATTAATTTCCTTTTAAACGTACGGTATTTGCAAATTTACAACGATACCATAACCTTAATTTTATTTGGATGACTTGCTGCACCACAACGTGCTGATAAAACTGCTACAGACATATACAAAATAGATATTGGCATATTCTTATATGAAAAAAAAAACAGTTTTTATGTGTAACATATCATAGTTAATAGGTTTTTCTTTTCCATATGCAGGTAGTGACAGTTTCCTTCGCAATGAGGGTGGGTATTTTACAAGATCCTCTTAGATGTTATCAGAGAGAAATTGTGCATGTGTTCACAAGAAAACTATAAAGGGTATATCAACCCAGCAATTATATTAGAGGGAAAAAATAAATTCAATTTAAGCAATCCACGCTTGTAGATCTGCTAGTCCTAGAAAAATTCAATTTAAGCAATCCACGCTTGTAGATCTGCTAGTCCTAGAAAAATTCAATTTAAGCAATCCACGCTTGTAGATCTGCTAGTCCAAGAAAAATTATATTTAAAAAATCCACGCTCTATTAAAAAAATCCACGCTTGTTGATCTGCTAGTCCAAGAAAAATTCAATTAAAAAAATCCACGCTCTATTTAAAAAAAAACACGCTTGTAGATCTGCTAGTCCAAAAAAAATTATTTTCAAAAAATCCACGCTTGTAGATCTGCTAGTCCAAGAAAAATTCTATTTAAAAAATCCACGCTTGTAGATCTGCTAGTCTAAGAAAAATTCTATTTAAAAAATCCACGCTCTATTTAAAAAATCCACGCTTGTAGTTCTGCTAGTTCAAGAAAAATTCTATTTAAAAAATCCACTCTTGTATTTCTGCTAGTCCTAGGAAAATCCC